TTTTTTGGAATCTCTACAATGTTTTTATTTTTATTTTTTTTTGTCTTTCCATTTCGTTTGCCATGAATGATTACGTGTGGTGGTGTGGTGGGACGTCAAACATGGCTGTTGAAATCATTGATAAAACCTGCATAATGTAAGTTAACGATACAAAAAAAGAAAGGTAAACATGGATTGTGTGCATGCATAGGAGACAATCATCTTTGAATCATTCCATTGAAGAGACGAGAACAACGGACACGTGACAGAAAAAAAAAAAGGTGCGCTAAAAACGCTCTGAAGTTCTTGCGCAGCGAACTGCGATGATAAAAACACAATAGGGGAATCAAATCAATCAACCCGTTGTCGACTCCAACGACGGACACACTAAACAGCCCTGACCTGCACGCAAAATACACGATTGAAATCAATCAACCCGTCGTTATGCCACGGCCGACACACTAAACATCTGCACAACCGACGACGATTCTGGGCAATCCCTCCGACCGACACACTAAACAGGTGCGCACTGCGCAACGTTCCAACCACAGTGAAGCCCATCACGACCAGCAACGTTTACATGCGCCCTCGTTCACACAAGCGCCGCACCCCCCCCCCCCCCCCCCCCCCCCCCCCAACCCCCTATGTGTCATCTTTTCCATCGTGCACCCCCCAGTCCCCCCACCCCCTACGTGTCATCTTTTCCATTGTCATTGTTGTCATGACCGGGGGGGGCCGAACCCAACCAATCTAGCTTCTTCGCATCCTCCGCCCCCGTTATGCTCGCGTCGTGCCTGAAACCAATGTCCCAGGGTGCCCATCCAGGGATGTAGTCGGGGTACTCTCCAAACGTAGCGTTCGCCTTCCCAAGCCTCTCCGTGACGACTTTCGCGGCGTGGACGACGAATCGTCGATGATCGAAGAACTGATGCGTGGACGCGACGAGTGTGGGCTTTGCCACAAGGTTCGCGAAGTAGAAAGCTCCGTAGTGGTTGCGCGGATCGACTCCCGCCATGCGCATTATCCACATGCACGCCGCCAACAAAAGCCTGCAGCAGTCATCCACCCGACAGAGATGGTCGTACGAGATGAAGTCGTCGTCGATGTGCGCACCCATTTGCACCGCCGCGGGGAATGCATGCGCGATGCAGATGACGGTGGACTAACCATAGTGGCAAGTCCATGGACAGATCTATCGTGTGCGCGCATACCGCCGCACTGACGACGTTGCACCACTCCTCGCCGTACCACATTGCACACGCAATGTCCGTCGAGACGGACTCGAGCGAGTACTAGAAAGCCAAATTGTATCCCCTTGGGCGGTTCCCGGACTTGAATACCTAGTTGTGCAAGATGCGCAGGGCAATGTTCTCCACTACCGCCGCACGGGAGATCGCTTGCTGCAGGTGTGATGGGTCCGTGATCCTGGCTACCTTCGTGCTGGATTTGGGCAGGACGACGCTCCGAGGGACGACAGGTGCTGGAAGGCCGCTGGCGATGGCGACAAAGTACTCTCTCGTTTTGTGGACGATGTTGTATAGTCTTCGCCCCTCCCCCGTCGTCCAGAAAGCTTCGTCATCAACCCAAAGCACGACACGATCGATGAGGTCTTTCGTCATCAATCTCCTACGTGCGCAGCTTGAACTGGGCTTGCCGCCGTCCCGATCATTTTTGTTCTCGCCACGCGCCTCCTCTCTCGCCGTCGCCACAACTGTTGCCTCCTCTCTCGCCATCGCAATGGGGGCCACAACGCCTGAAGCACCCGCACCCGCAGCAGTTGCTGGCTCGCCCCCAGCTGCGCGCGCGTCTGCTATGACTTCCCCCCCGCCGCCGCGCTGGACGGACCCTCTGTCATCACCCGGGTTGCGCTGACGTGGCTGAGACGGCGTGGCGGGCTGTCTCCCCGTAAGTTGCCTTTCGTCCACCGCAGCGCGTGCCGTCGCCGCCGGCGCTGGGGTGCCTTGTGCAAGAGTGCACAGGCGACGTTTCTCCAAGGGCTCGTCATCATCGCCGCCCAGATCGACGACGGCAGCCTTCTTTGTCCGCGTGTCGCGGGCACGCAGTTGCTGCGCCTCGGGCGGAGGGGTGAGCATCCTCTTCGAAGCAGACTGATCAGAAGAGCGCTACCGCCTCTGCCAGCTCTTCCTCCCTCGTGGAGTTGTCGTCATAGTCCCCTTCCGCTGTTGCCGCCCAACCTTGCGCTCGACGCGAAGGCACGCTTGCTGACGCATCATCCAAACGCGCCGTCATCGCCTTTGGGACATGCCGCCGACCTCTTCCCTACCCTTGGCTGTACTCAGGGACGCCGTCGCACTTCTTACCACGGGCACTCCGTCGCGTAGACATGCTTCGTCGGGACCTCTGCAGGCGAGCTTGGTGGTCCGATCGGATGAGCGGGAAGTGCTTCGTCGACCGTCGTTTGAAGTCCCACTGATCTGGCGAGAAAAATGTCTCCCGTGTTGCTGCAGCCTGACTAGGACGAATACCCCTACGACATAGAAGATCTCTCCTCTGCGGGAAGTAGACGACGACGTACACGTGCACGACAAAAGGATGGCGACCCCGGCGAGAGCGCTCTGCGGCGAAAAGATTGACGACAAGAAGAACATAAAGAGTGACGGTGAGAGTGCTCCGCGTAGGAATGATTGACGGCGGACGTCCACGTGTACGACAGAAGGACGACGACTCCAGCGAAGATTCTCCACGTGACGAGATGGCTACAAAGGCGTCGGCGGTGGTCCTCCGCGGCACTGAAGATGTCCGCGGGGAGCTGGCGACATTTATGCGGCGAGCAGGCTTGTACTGCTCCCGCGTAATTGCGGCCAATGTGCAGCAGGCGCGGCGGGCTTCTGTAATGGAGACACCCTAGTGCGGACGACATTCATGCGGGTTGGGATGTGCACGACTGAAGTTAACGCAACAGATGGACCGCCCACGACGTCGCTTCTCTGTGGCGAGAAAAGGCATCGTCGACGGTGCCACGTGAGACCACCCGGCATATCCTGCCGTGTCATTATGATCCTCCCCAAGGCGCGAAAAGACCCTTCGACGTCCCTGGCGACGCGCGTGAATTCACTCGCCAGGGACCAAAAGTAAGAGAACCCACCTTCACCCCTGGCCACCCCATCGCGCCTACCCCTCGCAACCACCGACCCCCCCCCCCCCCCCCCCCCCTTTCCACTCCAGACCCCCTCGTCCACAATCCCCAAACAGCACAACCCCTTTCTGACGTGGCTCTATGGTTCTCGAGCCACCGGAACGCAGACGATGCACTCTGGTCGTCGAAAACGATGACTACATAAAATAAATAAATAAATAAATAAAATTACCCACACAATTGTGCGGATGACACACACACACACACACACACACACACAC